ACACAGACACAGACATATATATATATATATATGATATATATATATATAAATATATATATATATTATTGAAAACAAGAGTTCTGAACCAGATCGAGAGACACTTTATGGACATCACAAGGACCACCTCATGATTACATACATAAACAATCGCGTGTGACGTAGGTATACAATAAATACAATTATATAAATACTCCGTGTCTAGATCTTTGTTAACGTATTAGTCTGGCAATATATTTCTTGTCATGGTCTTCGCAGATGCCGTCGATGTGCTATTTTGAATAATTGTATTACGATCGGTGCACACACAAGTATATCATGTGCATGCGCAAAACTAAATGCCACCTGAATCACACCTGAGTCTCTACTCATGAACTTGGTGGGGTCCTAGATCTTTAGTAATTCTGATACGTTTCATTACAAACAGATCTGGCACTGTACTACTACAAGGCCCTTCTATATCAAACATAAAGCAGAAGCTCGGATCACTAGCAAGCCGCGTACCTTCAGTGGGTTCATGTCCAAACGCTGTCTGCAACCTTACGATTGCACTTTTAAAGGCGTTGACGTCGAAGAAGAGCGCCAGAGGATCGTCCTCGCTCAGAGAATTCTCCTTGACAGCCTTTTGAACAACAAGCTCATGGTGCAGTGCTTGGCCGTGAGATTCCATTTTGTCTGTACTACAGTTACGACTAGAGACAACCTTTGAAGAAACGTTTATCTCCTCTCCCTCTCAATCTCTCTCGCTGTATGTATTTATCCTGTAGCCTTTCCGAGTTTGTAATCTCCACAGTGAGCCAGTCGCCACTCTCGCCAGAGTCCCCGTCACTTGTCAGACGTGAGACGTCAGTTTGTCACTCTGATGGCCTGATCCAAGGACCGGGTCTCACCAGGATTCAGTCAGAGCCTCAATGGGTCTGAGGCCATAACGTTCCGACGTTTAAATTCTACTACCCGTTAACCATTGAACGTTGAACATATTTTGAAGTTGTTCCGTCCAGTATATATGAGAAGGGATCGAATTCCAGGTCTAGCATGTCGTCAAGTTTTGTCCTTATATTTACTCACTCGTTCATTGATCTATACCACAGTATGTGGCCTAATAGCAAATAGTAGACACACTATCTCTACTACTAGTAGGTCGCGTTGACGGAATTGTTTTAGGCCAATACCGTGTATTTATATGTTTGTAGGTTCCAACGGTTTTAATTGACCCGCTAAACGTTAAGCGTTGAACGCATCAACCCCTATGGCAGAACGTTACGAGGAATAGCCCTCGCCCATCTCTCTAGAGTATTTATTTAGTACAGTAACTACTAACGAGTACATATTTAGGGCAAAGGAGAAATGTAGTTGAGGCCGATGATGTTATAATAGTACGTGAGAAGTCCCCAGCCTACAGATAAATAGCAAGCACAGACCTAGAACAGGCTACAGATATGTGATGGTGACGATAACTATTGTTTGATTCTGAAAAAGAATATCCTTGTAAATTGAACAAAAAAGACATGCTTTAATTAAATATTTTGGAAGGTTTTACAGATAAGTAATGTAAATATGCTTACTTTATTTTTAATTTAAAATGTTTTTCTTATTTACTTACTTTGACCCTACATTTTGAACTTGTTGGAATGTATTTGTCTACTAACCTGAATAATTCAGGTGTTTGTAGCGAATTGATAACGTACACCGAGCCGTCCTTCAATCGTAGTGCTAGATAATTGGCGCGCTTCCGCTTGCGAAGCGGCGTGGATATACCATCTGTGTATACATGATCAACGTCAGCTATCTGGGACCAATTTATCCTGTACTGCAAACTCGCATCGTCATTTGACAGGATGATCGCTCCATACTCATCAATACTGACGAGGATGGCCGTACGGCGCTGGATCTTGACAGAGTAACCTCCCACTGATTTCTTGCTCTTCACATTGCCCGCTACACAATATCCTCTGTAGCCAGGATAGAACTTTAGTGTGTCGATTAGTACCTTTGGATTTACCTCTGGGCCACGAGTATTCACGGACGGTCTGCACAGTATGACTGTGATATGCCGTTGTATATGCTTGTGTGCGAGAGCGAGTCGAATGGATCGATGGTGCAGTCTTCACTGTCCAGACAGTCTATGCAGATTACATTGGTGTGATGATCAACTGGTCTGAGTGTCGACTTGAGCTTAACCAGGTCTTTTAGTGGATTCCCGTAAGTGTTGTGTTGTTGGCCAACTTGGCAAATCATAATGTGTGATGTTTTCAAGACGTTGCGATTGTATTTTATTTTGACTTTATTCAAGAAGTTTCGATTGTAAATATGGCAGGGGTCTGTGTCCTGTATATATACGCAGCGTCCCAAAGTTTTATTTTAATACATAACACGAAACTAGGCGGGGATAATCAAAACCCATAGCCTTCTGAAAATTTGAAGAAGAAGAAAAACAGGAAGGCTATGGAATAAATAATGAACATGGGAACAGGAAGGCTATGGAATAAATAATGAACATGGGAACATTTTAGGCTTTAATGTTCTCATAGTAGGAGAGAGGCCCACCCAGTATGGACATCGTGTGGACATTTTGTGGCAGAATAGAATTCTGTCAAAATTCTCTCCAATCTTACTTATTGACCAATCAAACCCCAACCAAACCAGTTTTTGATATTTTGAGTATCTGGAGCGATAAATTTGCGAGAGAAACCCCCCTCCCCCCCCCCAATAGATTAGTTCGAATTCATTTTTTGCGCCAATACGTATATTGCTTTGGAATTTAATTTAATTTTTCATACTTGGGTAAACTCGATTTTATTCTCATACTTAGGTAAAATTATATCCTCATAGGTAAATTCAATAACATCATACTTAGGTAATTCAAATTTGCTTGTCAACCGGAGCATACTAGGCTCATCTAAGCTTGTGTATATGAATACGTATGTTTCTTTGTTTATTCAGCTGCTTTAGCTTCGATCGTTTGTAGTTGTGTCTTAAACTTCTTACTGCTTGCTTTCAAAAACTTGTTCGTCTGTGGCGACATCTTCAATTGTTCTTTTTGCCTTCTTCTGTCTCCTCGCCAATTCCTTCTCAACTGCATGCTCTACCATTTCAATCAATGCGGTTCTCATCTTTGTTGGCATTCCAGCATCATCAAGAACAGTATATGGTTCGGTGCTAATACATATAGCATATTTTGCTTACGGAGCTTGTTATTCGTCTCGCCAAATACTTTGATATTGTTGTAAGTATGTGTACTTTTCCCATTAGCCTTTCGCAGCTTGGAAAGTACAGTACTAGGTGACTGGATTATTCACTCTATATATTTCAAACTGTATACTCCGCAGTCAAGCGATCCAGGTTTCTGCCTCGGCACTTCTGTAAGTATTCTATAGTACCTCATAGTGGCTAATACTACCCCGAAGTTAGATACATGCTTGTTACTATACCTAGACTTTATTAATTTTCCTATTCTTGAGCAATTACTATGGCCAAAAGGAATTTTAAAAGCAACGGAGCCGCCAGCTCTAAGCCTGCTAAGCCTGCTGAGGTTCCTGAGTGGGGACGCTGGTCCGTCTGGTACTGAGCCTGCCGTTGAAGCTGTAGAGGAAGCCGTTTCTGAGCTTGGTCCAAACTCTGAGGATGACTCGTCGGACCCTAAAGCCTTGGAAGTGGAGGTCTCAACTGCCACGGAAAAGCTCGCCAGCGTTTGTGTGTCTCCTAGTAGTGCAGCACAGGGCCTCAGCTCGCCATCTGACCGTAAAAAAGTCAGATATGGGAAAGGCTGTATCTCCTGAACAAGTGGAGGAATCGTCTCAAGATCGACGGTTTATTACTACTAAAAGTCAGCCCAACACCTATTAACAAAGATGGTGGCGTTCCATTCCGTGAACTTTCATTGAATGCCTCGCCACTGGATGCCTCGCCACTGAATGTTGGGGCGGAAGACGCAAATGTTGGGGACGCCATAACTCGACAACGAGTGATTGGATCTTCTTAACCTTGATGCCATTTGAACCGCAAAGATGAGCTTTTAAAGGAGCTAGCCGCTGCCGTAGCTTCTGACCCTTTGATCATATCCCACGTGGCCGATATTTTTCCTATACCGAAGGGGAAAATCGACCATCCTCTCAACAAACCTAACCCTGTCAGAGGCTATTATCGTATGGGAATCGATGAGGCTTTCCACCCTCAAAACATCGATCCTCATTTACCATCTAACCCTGGTAATCACGACTTTGGTAATCGTTATACCAGTACCTCACTAGAGAGTACCCACTCTAGCTCTGAAGACGAGGAAATGAGAACCAGACAACATCGTCTCAGGCTATTACGTTCTGGTATGCAAGTCCTTGAGGACCATCTATTGAATGACTCAGACCTTGCCGATAAGAAAGAGGATAACATTCGCTATCTAATCGATAACAAGAGAAAAGACATAGACTCCATCGTAAGCCTCGTGAACGCTTGGAACCAAGCTTTATAAAGCAGCTAGGAAACGCGAAGGCTGAGCTTGATTTCTCCACTAGTGCGAGTACAGTGGAGACACTGAAGGCCCCTGACCAACTTAAGAAGTCTGTCATCCTTAAGGATAAGCAGATGATGAATGCCTTTATTCATTTATATGAGTCAGTGGAATGGAAAACTATCTTGAAGGCCCATGAGCCCAACTGGAAAGCCCTACTCTGGCGTCAGTTGCGTGAGAATATACTTAACACCTTCTTTGAAGATGCACGTGACCGTGAACTTCTAGAGTCTTGCAAGTCCTTTGCGAACGATATTACTATTCGAGGTGCTCTAGCTCATTTGACACATATGAACACTCGGATGGGAGGTCGTACCTATACTGGTGAATATTTATTAATTTGTCAGATGATGGAGACTCTGAGGGTTAACCTTTTTATGAAGTTCAATGATGGTATTATCGCCTATGGTGATTTGCGATCTATGCCTTGGTCTGTCTTTGAGAAGATAGATTAAAAGCATACCAACCCATCTACTAGAGTACTTAGTACCTCGAGTTTTACCCAGCCCGCTAAGCGTATCGCAATAGAGAATAACACTGCGCGTAATATTAAGAAGCCTTGCACTATTGCTGGAGGTGGTAAAGGCTCTACTTCTACTGAACCAAAGGGTGAAAGGAAGGAAAGAGCACCTTGCAAAAAATGTGGTTACAACCTCACTAAACGTGATGGCAAGTGGAATGGTAAACACGACTCTGTTAAGTGTGCACCAGGCAAGCCAAACTTTGGACACCACTTTCCGATTTGGCTCCACAAGCCCGCCTGCTCCGCCTGCAAAACGACCGCGGTCACAGGCGCCCAATAGAAGCAGTGAGCCTCCCAGCTACCGCTCAAAAGTGGACAAACCTGCAAACCCGATCCCTAAAAAACGATCAGTCCCAATCGCAGCCTTATCAGTCCCAATCGCAGCCGCCAGTACCCGAACACCATTTGACGAAAGTGGTGGGCCGCCCGATGCCGGACAAAACTCTTCATGAAATGGATGACATAACTCCGGTATGGCTCTTCTTCCGAGCAATTTTCCCTAACGGCAAGGCTCCATCCCAATCAGTATTTGAAAAATACTGGCATGCCCAACCAGCCCTCAATCGCCAACACTTTCTCTGGTATCTTCCGTCTAAATCGGTATCTCAACCAAATCGTCGCGGAAGCTCCACCAGTTTCA